ACAAAGCTTTCGAGCCAGAGGCTGTAGAAGCATTCAACATCCCAACTACAGCTCAGTGACAGAAAACTCACTTGTCAGATTGGACAGCAGCATAGGAAAGCTCAGGGCTACACAATGTCAAGGTCATTCTTATTGGTGACCTCTTAGAACGTTCTCCTGGTGGAATGGCCTCTGCTGCCCTCCAGTTGAAGTACATCATGACTCAACCAGGCATCTTTTGCATGGTGCTATTTCTGGTCTTGGGATAGATGGGCTGATCCTGCACTCTGCAGAGCTCAGCAAACTTCCCTCACTTGATAGGCTCTGCACACCCTTGGCATATTGCTCATCCACATCTACACAAGACCCTATTGACCTGTCAGCAGCCTCTTGTTAACTTCCTATTGCCTTAGCAAATGCCTGAGATAATCTACTGAAGAACAGGAGGACCAAGGAGGCTTAGTTGGTGAGGATCATTGGGCCAGTAGTTTAGGCAGGAACCAGCTTCACAGGGACAGGTGGCATGGTACTCTGGAAGTATAATCATACTGTTGTCTGAAAGTTGTATTGCTGCTCTGCCTTCTTTTGGATTTATTTCCCCTCTCCACAGTGCTATGGAAAGAGAGAAGATGCTTCACAGTGACCTAGCAACAAATCAAAGGTATTCTCCAATTGGCTATTGTACCTGAGCCAGCCACATTGCAACCCACAGAAAAAGGAGGAAATACCAACTGATGAGGGAGGTAGGAGTGGCTGGAGGAACTGAGGTCATGTCTTAGAGCCTGGAAATTGAAAGAGGCTCCATCATCCTTGTGGACTAGAAGGCACAGCCTGCAGACACCGGCTTTCTGTGACAGAGCCAGCTCCAGTATATCCCAGAGTCTCCATCCCCCTCCTTCTACCCACTGTCTCTAAATTTAGAGCTTTGTCTGTCCTTTTCTTGTAGGATGAGGGTATTTTAAGTACTCTCAAGATGATGTCGAAAGAGAGGCGATAACTCTAGCACCATGGAGGCAGATACAACAGCTCCTCCCTGCTGCCTGCCAGGGGCTTACCCGTCACCATCACACCTTCCTCCCTTCCCCAGCTCCTCCTGCTTATCAGAAGGAAGCTGGAGGGAGAGAGCTGTGAGCCTCTATAAACTGCTGTGTGAAGTGGATTCAGGAAATTGGTACCCACGATGCACAGTGTGGGCTCCAGTCCATCCTCACACGGTACACTTACAGGAAATACCCAAGGGTTTGAAGGATCTAAGGGATCCTCACACAGCCCAGTGGAACCCCACATTGTGACTGGTCTGGGAGTTTTAGTGAGTCCACTTCAGAGAGTCCCTGAAAAGCTGAAATCTGGGAGGAACCCGAGATCGTCCACGGCTCCTCAAAGAATGGGAGCCAGCTTGCTCTTAACTCTTCCCAACAAAGCTCCCAAGGTGAGGGCTGGTGGGTTACTGATCAGTTCCAAAGTGTAAGGTGGATGTATGCACACCCCTACTGAACTGGCACCCTCCTGCCCTGATGACACCAAGGCAAGTTTCCAGGTCCCTGGTTTGGTAACATGAAAAAAGACACAGTTTGTTATTTTTGTTGTTTGTTTGCTTTCTTTTTTGAGACAGAGTTTCTCCGTGGCTTTGGTGGCTGTCCTGGAACTCGCTCTTGCAGACCAGGCTCATCTTGAACTCACAGAGATCCTCCTGCCTCTGCCTCCCAAGTGCTGGGACTAAAGGCATGCGCCAACAACACCCAGCCTCACAGTTTGTTCTTGAACTGGTAGTTGACACACCTGCCTCTACAGTGCTGCTTCCCAAGAACTCATCTCTTCTTCATGGATCAAGCTAATTAATTTTTATAATCAAGGGTGGACTTAGGGAGGAAAGAGCCTCCCACTGCAGGAGGGAAAATTAAGTGTGGCCAAGGGAAATGTGCTTGCCATTTCTAATTAAATTGGGAATAGGTGAAGTTGAAGTCCAGCCAAACCTGAGATCCTGGGGTTTTGCCAGATTCTGTAAGGGAGGCTAGGGAATGTTCCAGGAGATCTTGAGCAAGAAAATAAAGACCCATTTGGACTCTTGCCTGATGCCTTTTCCCTGGATCATTGAAGTTGGCAACTTACCTAATCCTATTCTCTCTCTCTCTCTCTCTCTCTCTCGTGTGTGTGTGCGCGCGCGTGCGTGCGTGCGTGCGTGTGTGCGTGCGTGTGTGTGAGAGAGAGAGAGAGAGAGAGAGGGATGCCGAGAAAGGCCAGGTAAGAATGCAATCAAGGGACCAGGAACAGAAATCAGGACATGTAATGGTACAGAAGCTTAAAGAATTAACTGAAAATGAAAGGCTCCAAAGCAAATAAAAATAACAGTAAGGCCTGGCTTCTGCTCTTCTGCATGGGAAGCCTCGGTCTCTGAGATCCAGGGTTGACAAGAGAGGGAGGCTGGATGTACTAAAAGTCATGACCATGGACTTCAGACTCTCTCGTTCTCTGTGAAGAAGTAAAACTTTCAGTTCTCTCAAGCCTCTGCCCTTCACCTTGGGCTTCTGAGACATGACAGGAATATGACAACACCCATGTGTCGCAATTACTAACAACACCTCAGGGCATCTTCTGGGCCACCTTCCTCTTGTTGGCTTCCCGGGCCAATGGGACATCAGAGAAGCTCTCCTCTCTCCCCAGAAAGTCTTCTCTGAGTCTCAGGACCACCTGTCACTTTGTGCATCATTTTCTGAGCCCTAGGTATGTCCCTGGCCCTACTGGAGTTGCAGAGGGTACAGAGAATCTATCTGACAGAAACACATGTGTTGTAGCCTCAGAGGAACACGCTCAGAGGAACACACTCAGAGGAACACGCTCAGAGGAACACGCTCAGAGGAACACGCTCAGAGGAGTGTGACCACAGGGAGCCTGAACACAGAAGCCTTCTTAGAAGAGGCACCATTTGAATGCAGTCTTGGAAAATTAGTAGGGCTGTTAGCCAGCCCAAATGGGAAAGACATGATATGCAGAAGGAACAATTCACGCAAGGACACAGAGGCAAGAAAGGGCAGGGCAGTGCTGGAAAGTTCCAGGCGTTTGTGTGCCCTGCATCCAGGTGGCAAAGAAGCCAGAGAGGGAGAGGGGCTGAGAGGCTGCCGGGGGATCTGGGATTGACTCAGCCACTGAAAATAAGAGGACGGTATAGCAGGAACTGTGTGTTAGAAAGGCCACTGAGGTCCCGAGTTACAGGTGGACTGGACTGGGTAAAGACAGAGGAGCTGGGGCAGGCACGAGGCCCCTCAGGGCTGGGCAGGTCAAAAGTGGAGAGCACAAATCAATGTAACAACAGCAGCCTGGCACATCTGAGAAAACTGAAGAAACGGTGACAAGGTTTTGTCACCATTTGGACGTGGGGATGGGTAAAAGAAAGGAATCCAGACTGACAGCTTTCTGGAATGGGGCACTGCATGGAAAGGCTAGGGAGAGGTAACCATGACCACTGCTTGGGCAAAGGCTAAGGTTGAGGCAGAGGATGCCAGGCATTCGTACCAACAGAGAGGCAGAAATACCAGAAAGGAACAAGGCATGGATGAGAGACGTGCATGCGGAGTCATCAGCACACAGCCAAGGGCTGGACCCGTGAGCTAGGTCCAGGGCACCTGGTAGAAGTAGGAACGGAGGTGAATGGAGGAGCATCAGTAGACTGGAAAACTCCAGCTCCACCCCATGACCTGCAAAGGACCAGGCAGAACTAGGGAAAGGCTAATACACAGGCTCTTCAGAAAAGAAATAAGGTCCCTGCTACTGCCTTGGGCAGGGACAGTACAGGAGAGATAGTGTCTACAGCAGCAGGGACAGTGTGGTTCAGTGTGAAGAGAGCTAAGGCCACTCAGCAGCCTCGTTGGGGAATGTGGCAAAGCAGAGGTCCCTGGGGCGTGAGTCAGATTGGTCAGCAAAAACCAGATCCTTTTGTTGCAGGGAGCATGACTGCCAAGGCCATCCCTCAGCCTCTCCAGCTGGGAGCCGGTGTGTGATGCTCTTGGAGTGGAATGCTGAAAGTGATGAGGAGGGGCTGACATGGTCCCCAGAGAGCACTGGGCATCTGTCCACGCTTCTGTGTCATTCTTATCCAGGACACAGAGAGAAGAAGACGGTGTGCATTGTTGGCTTCCACCTTACCTTCCCAGGAACCTGACAACCTAGGGACCCACACAGCCAGGTCGCCACACAACAGCCAGAGCCAGCCCTGCCCTATCGCCTCAACCTGCTCAGGGACCTAAAACGGCCCCCTGAGGTCAGAGAGCCCGCAATCACACAGCACTGGCCAGGGAGACAGCAGGCTAGAACTTTTTTTCTAGTTGTTTTATTTGAAAACCCTAGGGTGTGTCTCCTCCTTTACCACACCCATCCCTACCCTCACCCCAGGACATGACAAAGCCACACACACGCACACATACAAGGCTGTGAGCTGCACACAGAAACACAGGAGCTGCGCTCACGACAACATTGAAAAAATATACACTATATAATACACCCGGGGTCCCTACTCCTCCTCCTTCCCCCACAACCTAAGCACAAGCAGGCCATGGAGATCGGGGCAGGGACTATGGGACCTTGGGTCTGCTCAAGCAGGAGAGGAGAAGAGGACAAGAGAGGGAGGAGACTGAGAAGAGAGAGGAGCGGGGATCCCCAGAGTGAAACGGAGATAGAGGTGAGGGGTCCTAAGGGAAACCGGGGAGCCCCAATGGACAGGACAGAGAAGGGACGGGCCCAGCAGCAGGCTCCCAATGGATCCCACTGCCACCTCAACCATGGCTGCTGATGTCCTCCCCACACAGGCTGTGCTGACAGGGTGTGCCTCCACAGGTGGGCTACAGGGCAGCCAAAGTCATCCAGCCACTCTCCCAGCGCAGCCAGCTGGGGCAGATGTCTCGGGAGAATGCCAGGGAAGAAAGGACAGCCCAAGGCCAGGGTAGGCTGGAGGAAGAGGGCAACCCGTGGGGCCTGCTGGGGCTCTGAGATTGAAGGAGCACTCGGTGCGAAGGGCTCTTTCTCCCCTTGGTCTCTCTTCTCTCAGAATGCCTTCCTGGCTGCCTTCCTGCGCGCCTGTCTCCCGAGGGCAAGCCTCTCTCTAGGCAGGGTCAGAGCCTCAGTAGCGGTGTGGGGCGCTTTCAATGATGCGTCTCTCGTCACTGCTGGGGGAGTCGGCTGCCTCTGAGTCACTGCTGTCCTCTTCCTCTTGCTGGCCCCCAGCAACCCCTGCCACACCGGCCTGCTGGTTCTGGTAGGACTGGAGAGGACGAAAAGCAGAGAGAGCAAGAGCTCAACAGCCTACCATAACCTCTCCTTGAAGACACGTATGCATGCACCATCACGGTGTCCCCTCCCCATCTCCTCCGCAGTCTCTCTTCCTCCCCCATGGCCTCATCAGCCATACCAACAGCTTTCATCGGGGTCCGGGGCCCTCATCAGGGGTATTTGCCATAGATGTGCCCCGTCATTCCCCCAGGCCACTCACCTCCATGGGGTTCACGATAATGGTGAGAGCAGAGTCGTCCCAGAAGAGGTCGGGGTCTTTCGGGTCAGTGGAAGCCCCTGAGGGTCCGCCAGCTCCGGAGACGCGGCGGTGAAGGGAGTGGATGCGCACTAGGCCCAGGATGACCATGAGCGCCAGGAAGCCCACACACACCACAATGATGAGAGTCGCGGCACTGGGAACCACTGTCGGGAGAAGCAAGGCCTCAGCGGGACACAGCACACCTGGGGGACTCGGGCACAGGGGCTGTCGGGTGCTGGGGGAAGAGACTGCACACGGAAGAGGTCCTGGGAAGAGAAGACCGCCTGCCCTCAAGGAGGTCTTGAGACGTGACTAACTTGAGAAATTGGAAGAAAAATAGACCCCACCAAGAGGGGTCAACAAGAAGGAAGTGAAGAAAGGCTGCTCCAAAGGCCAAAGACACACAGATAGGAAGGGGGTGTGCAAAGAGAGCTGGGTGGTGTGGAGAAGCCCCCAGCCTAGTGCTGCCTTGAACAGCCATATTGTCTCTGGAAAAATGGTAAAGACTAGAAGCTGCCTATGTCTTCCTGCCTGAACCTTCCCTGGGAAACACCTATCTCCCAGAGGGAAAGAGAGGGGCAGCTACAGGGGATTGACTGGGATGAGAAGAGAAACAGCTCTAAGTCTAGCCTGATGACCAGAGGAGTTGCTGTCCCCAAGGCTGGTGACAGGTCCCAGTGGCAAGGAATGGCCCCTTCACTTACCCACCTGGTCTGAGCTCAGTCCTGCTCCGTGGCAACTCCCTTCTCCTTGTAGGCCTGGGGTTCCTGGTCCTGCGGGGCTTCTGTCCCTCCCCAGTCTCTCCCCTGGGTGTCCCTCCTTCTAACCCTGCGCCCCCAGGCCTACCGCCCTGTAGCCTCATTCTGATGCCCAGGTTGAGGGGTGCATGGACTCTCACGGGCAGTGAGAAGCAGAAAGGCACGTGCACTCTCACATGGACTTTGGAGCTGATGGTGGACAAGCAGACGTGCACGCACAGGCACATGCCAACGAGGAGCGAGTGGACACACAGCTGGACAAGCATCGCCAGGCCCCACACCCGAGCCAGCCCTCCAGTTGCCCACACACCTGCCTGTACCAGCCACCTAGCAGCCTGCTCACACAGCAGGCTTAATGGGACATGCGTCAGCATTTCTAGCACGGCACCAAAGATCCGTATAGGCAGCGTCACCCAACTCCCTACCAGCTGGGCAAACCAAGCAACCCCCTGAAGGAAGACGGAAGCACCACAGGCATGGGCCCTAAGGGCCACAGAACAAGCGGCTGTACCCACAACCTGAGCCCCCTTCTGCACACACACACAGGGCACCCGGAGAAACATAAGGAGCCAAAGCAGGGGGACCACGAACCCCCGTGACAGCAAGTGAAGGAAGAGACCCCACAGATGCACTCCCAAGCCCACAGCCCTCTTGGGCAGCTGGATCACTACCTGCCACATGGGCTCACACTCTCTTCACACCCCAGACAGTGTGTGTGTGTGTGTGTGTGTGTGTCCCAGACACATCGAGACTAGCAGTCACACAAGCAAGCCATACACGTAGACGTCACATTGCAGCCCAGCCTCAAATTTACCTGCATCCTAAAACTCTTGCCTGAAGAAACAGAACAGCATAGAGACAGTATAAAAGCCCCACACACCCAGCCGCAAACCCCTCTTGCCAGCACCAAGCATGGAAACAGCCACCACTCCAGGACCAACCAGGTAAATGGAGAATGCCAGCCCTGGCTGCCACACACCTCCCTGGGGCCGCCCTGATGGCTCTCTGACAAGCTGGTTCACATCCTGACCTGATCCATGGCCCATTTGGAACCAGTTGCCAAACACAGCTAACTCTGTGGGGGTGGTGCCAGCAGGCTCACTAGGCACTGGCTCCAAGGCAAAGATGGGCCTGGTTGAATCAGCATTTCTCAATGCCTGGGCATGGGGGAGGAAGGGGAAAGGGGACAGGGCTTCTCTTTCTGTAACGTGCTCAGAATAACCCCTCTCAGGTCCCCAGGTCATTGGACAAGTCCAAGGAGTAATGACCCTGCCAGCAGTTGGCCCGGGTGGCCAAGCCTAGGCAATCCCACTTTCAGAGTGCAAGCCACAACAGGTGACCTTACACTAATAATGAACCCAAATCAGATGCATCTGTACCCCTGAGGCCCTGACATAATGACGGAAATGACAAGTTGATTACCATGAACATGAAGTGACATCAAAAATGACAAAATGCAGACACTCCAGCAGTAGGCCAACAACTCTGATTCATTAGGACAAGCCAGTAGGTTGGGAGAATTTCTAAATTAGCTACCGGCTTCAAATCGCCCATTAGATCTTGCTGCATATGAGCTATGCAGAGAATCCTGGCCTCGAGTGACCACTGCAGCTAACATTAAGGGGTGTTTAGCAAATGGTTTATGTGATCGTAGAGACACTGTTGAAAGCACTGTCTATAGACCAGCAAAACACCACCCCCTTGATGAAGAAAGGACCTCGGAAGAGATGTCCTTCTGCGCCCAGTCCCTACCCTATGATCCCACACTTCTTTAGGCTCCTTTTTGTGGTAGCTGCCAGCTCGGATTTTTGACTCAGATTTTGCACAGCTCTGCAACCACACAGCAGCTCACAGCAGACACTTGGTAAGAACTGACATCCGTCCCCGGCTTCATCCATCTCAAGCTCCTCCCTCCATTGTCCCTCTTCCTTGCTTCCTAATTCTTTTCTCTTTAAAGCACTTTGGGTCCGGCTTGTTTTATTTTGGTTTCATGAGATGGCATTTCGCTTTGTTGCCTGAGCTGGATTTGAACTCCTGGGCTGGAGTAATCCTCCTGCCTCCACCCCAAGTAGCTAGAAGCATAAGGACACAACGCTGTGCCAGGCTTATTTTCTCCCTTTCTTCTCTTCTTTCTTTCAGTCATTAACCCTGAGAGAATTAGTCATCTTTTTAGAAGGAATTCTCTTTTTTCTTTTGCTTTTTGTTGTTTCCTTATGCAGGGTTCCACAAGGCTGTTTTCATACCCCAGTACCCCAATATTCTTTCCATTCTACTCCATTACTCAGATTCGTCCCTTTGTTTCTTTTTAATACTATTTCTTTGCATGTCTTGCTGTGGTGTCTCAGGTACTTATGAACATCAAAGTAGAGAAATGGTCCCCAAAGTTTGCTCAGCAATGGAGTTACATGGGGATCTTTAAAGTTAAACCCTGATAGAGCTGACCAGATGGCTCAGTGGGTAAGGGTGTCTGCAAGTCTAGTGGCCCGAGTTCCATCCCTGGAAAGCACGGGAAGACAGAAGACAATAACTGGCTCCACAAAGTTGTCCTCTGACCTCTGACACATGTGCCCACATATACACTTCACACACACCCAAACACACAATATTAATTAATTAGTTAATTAGAATTAAGTCAAATAAAAAAAAACCACTGATACCTGACTCGAATCAACTTGGGGTACCAATCACCAAGAAATTTTAGAGTTCCTCATACAATAGACGTGAATCAGTGTTTGGGATAACAGTGTAATGTCTTCATCATCTTTCGCTCCTTAACTATTCTCAAATGCTCACTCTATCATCCTCCTTCTGCCTGCCTAGGACCTCTTTCTCTCCAGGACACAAGTGCAAACTCCACATATATCTCAAAATTGCCCTTGACCATTCTTATTCACCGGGATCTCTTGTCTGATGTGTAAGAAGCTGCACAGAAGTTAGCCTCTGTCTCTGGAGGAGATGGTAGAGCTACATCCACTCTCGCATACACCTAACTAGTCTACAGCTCACCTACCTCTGAGGTGGTAGAGCTACTTCTACTGCAGCTTTAGAGTAGTTCAGCTTCATGAAGCCCTAGTTCTGCAAAGCAGTGCTTGGACTTAGGGGATGAAGGGGAAGACATACCTTGGTGTCAGAAGCAGTGTACGAAAGAGGTTTGGTAAATGTGCGAACTCAAGCTGTATCACTCACAAATGGCCTCAGAAAAATGGTGAACTCTGTGCCTTCTAGGGCCAAAATAAGGGAAGAGGCAAAGGGTAGGTAGTTGCTGTCTATTGAAATCTCAATAGGAAGTGTGGTTGACCTAGATGTAAGTCACAAAAGGACATAGCACACAAGGGTCAGAGCAGCCCTGGCAAAGCAGGGGGATGAGAGATGACAAACACTGTCTGTGGAGCCAGCCAGGACAAAGCACGCTGGGCAGAAGCCCTGGGCAGTTAGAACAAGGACATCCCTCCTGGGACCTCAAACCAAAGACAGAAAGGACTGCAATCAGAGCCATGGCATCCAGATCCAGCTTGAGTCTACCCATGGGAGCAGAGCCCAGCATCCAACCCAACAAAAGGCTCATGAGGTGACCCAGTGGCCAAGAGCTCCTCTGGGAATTGCCTAAAGAGCCTGTGACTTTTGCTGCTTTTCAAAAGTGACGGTCTGTGGTCTTTGGGGTGGGCTTAATGCTTAAAACATTGACATGATCTCTAGAGTCAACCATGACAAGAGCAGATACTGAAGTTAGGTAAGTTCACTGGGCCAAAAGCAAGGTGTGTCTCAAAAGTGACAAAAATAAATAAATGCACCTCCAAACAGGCTTTAAAAATAATTCTAAAAGGGTTCCCAAAAGTCACTCTCAGCAATGTACAACCATTGTTCAGATTTTAACAACTTATTTTATAATCTTAAGTGTAAGCATCAGGTTATAAGATGGTGTGATGTCAACTCTATAAATTATAGATAGATAGAAGACACATACATAGATACATGATAGACAGACAGTCAGACAGACAGACAGATAGAGATAGATAGACAGATGAATGAAACACAGTAGAAACATAACATGCCCTAGCAGGAGGCAGCCTCACTTTGACAGAAGTAAGGCTGACTTTTCTTCTTTATACTCATGTTTTCTCCCTTCTGCTTTTAATTTTTCTTTTGCAATCAAGCAACCCTTTGTATTAGAAAACAAACATTGAGCTACTCATAAAGGACCATAACCAGCCAGCAAGACTGCCCCATCCACAAAAATATTCTTGGGCTTTTACAGAGAACATACAATTACATGTTTAATAGTACCTACTCTTTCCACAGGGTGGGGTGGCTATTCTGTAATTCTTTGTAGTGTGTGTGTGTGTGTGTGTGTGTGTGTGTGTGTGTGTGTGTGTGTGTTAAGGTATATCCCACAGTACATGTATGGAGAGCCCAATTTTCAGGGTTCTGTCTCTCTTTCTACTTTGTAGATCCCAGGGGTCGAACTCAGACTATTAGGTTTGAGAACACGTGTCTTTACCCAATGAGCTATTTTGTCACCTCCCTCATTGTCTTCTTTCCCCCCCCCCCTTAATAGACAGGTCTCATCACATAGCTCAAGCAGGGTTCCCTCTTGTCCGTCCCAGCCTCTTGAGTGCTGGCACCCTAAGCATGCACACCACATATAACACCTAAAAGCCCTTTATTCTCACTAAAAGCCGCATCTTCAGGTAGTACTGGTATGCCATAGGCACTAAATTAATAACTTCACTGCAGAAGAGCTCTAGATGCCAGCTAACCTGACATTAGGAGCAGGGAGGGCAGCAAGAATAATAAAATGCCTACACCCCTCACTGCCTTGTGATTCCAGGCTTGAGCACCCGGCACCGACTCAGGATTCACCTTCATAGTGGAGTTAACAGTCCGGGGACGGGGAGAGAGATGCACAAGTTATCCCACAGCCATCACTAAGGCAGGTACCATGGAGAGCAGAATCTACTGTCTCACCCTCCTCCCCTCCCAAGGATATAGGGACGGGGGTCATGCCACACCCCTCAGGCCCACTAAGCTTACTTACTGGAGTTCCGGTGGGAGCTGGCCAAGCTGTGCCCAGCCATCTCAGGAGGAGGCTGATGACCCCGGTGCAGGAACTGCTGCGAGCTGAGCACATGGCTGGGGTGGGCCACCCGGTTCATGCTATGAAGGACATTGACCTGGGGAAAGGGAGGACTCTGTAGGTACAACTGCTTCTCACCAGGGCCCTTTCCACCCCACTCCAAGCTCACTCAGTACACCCCTCTCTCATTTGGGGTAGGGGCTCCTACCACATAATGTGTGTGGAGCTTAGAGGACAACTTGCAGGAGAGCGTTCTCTCTGCCTTGCAGTTTCTGAGGACCACATTCAAGCAGGCCGTTGGGCTTAGCAGTGAGCCAAATTGCCCATCCCTACCACTTTAACCATCACCCCACATCTCCTCCTCCTCTGCCTCCTCCATCTGTCATGGGTCTAGGAGTCTTCAATGCAACAAAGTCCCTGTCCATCAAGCTGCTATCCGAGGCTGATACATCCTGGCTCCTTGCCAGGAGCAGGTGACCTGGAAAGGAATGGGATTCTCTGAGTACCTCCACGATGAATTCATTGCTGGAGTAACGGCCATTCATCTCTGAGCAGGAAAGCCTGAATTTCCTGGCATACAGGGCGGCTCCACGTCGGAGCCGATAATGAGCATGCCTCAGGATCTCTTCGTACACAGTGATGGTCTCCACCCCTGGGGAATAAGAAGACAAGCTCAGTGGAGAGGCCAGTGGAGGGAGGTACAGGGCAGCACCCTGACTCAGGCTCCAACCAGCTGACAACACAATGGAAGGGATGGTTAGACCCATCCCTCAACAGAGGCATAAGTGGACATACACTGATCTACAGGGGTAGAGCAAGCAAAGCCACATTTGCTTCTCTGTCCTTCTTCTCTCCTAGTCTTGTGGCTTCTGGGACTCCCCAGGGATGAAAGAATCTAGATAGCTATAGAAAAAAAAAGGCAAAGACCACAAGTGGTGGCGGTGCACACCTTTAATCCCAGCCCTTGGGAAGCAGAGACAGGTGGTCTTTGTAAGTTCGAGGCCAGCCTGGTCTACAGAGTGAGTTCCAGTTCAGGCTACAGAGAAACCCTGTCTTGAAAAATAAAATTAAAAAAAAGGAAAAAAGGGCAAAGACATCCTCCAAGGGAAGGAAGATAATAGACAGAAGGGATACAGCTTTGGTGAGGGACTGGTCATTGTCACCTTTTCCCATTCTCCCTCCCGCATGCAGCTGCCTCTGCAAAGCACCAACCATCAATCCGCACCATTCACTGAGTGAGCACTTAAAGCTATGGAGGATGCAGGAAAGGACAGATACACACATCAAAGAGCTACAAGACTCCAAAGCTGGCTGGGGAAGACGGAGGCAGGAGAGAGATGGCAAAGACCTAAAGGGACACAGAAATAGAACATGGAAAGGAGGGGGAGCCAGGCTCTGGAGAGCAGAGAGAAGAGAGGGGTTCAGAGATGGATTCAGAGCCCAGGCACACGTCTCTCAATATGGAAACCAAAGGGCCTTCCAGCTAAGAAGGAACAAAATGGCATTTGACCAGCATCCTGGGAAGGAAGAAAGAGCCATGTCTCACACACACACACACACACACACACACACACACACACACACACGCACGCATGCACGCACGCACACATGCACACTGGGCCTCACTGACCAGCAATGGTGAGGTAGGCAGATGTGTTGGTGAGCTCCAGGCCTCGCTGCTGCAAGGATGCCATGTCCAAGAGCAGGCTTTCTCGCTCAGGGTCTAGGTCATCTCCCACCAGAGAAATTTCACAGCCATCCAGGTTGTGTACAATCTCATCTGACATGCGTGTATCTGTCACTGTGAGGGAGAGTTGAGGTCCAGGTCAGAGCTGTGCCCACTGAGGTTCTGAGACCAGCCACTGTCATTGCATTGTGGCCACTCCTCCTCCCCACCCAGGGCCATTCTTTAAGGAAGGAAAACATTGTCATGAACATCAACATGCAACATTCCCTTGTACTTGTGGCTTCCCACGGGCTCTGGTTTTGGAGGGTGAGTTGTTCCCAGTCACACTGACACAAGAGAAAGCTATTCCATTCTACCCGCCATGGTGATATCTTCCTTACAAAAATAAAGACCGTCTGGGGGTCAGAGAAAGGAGCTTGCCACTAGCAGAGAGAAGGAGCAAGCTGCAGCAAACCTTACCTCCTTAGCATCTCAGCAACCTCCATAGTCACTCCCTCACTCTAGTCACAGACATCACTGTCCTCTGGACCACATCATTCCTCGGGGTTATCCTTACCTGTGCCCTGCCAACTCTCATCTGCTTTGGCCTCCACCTGGTGAGAAATGGAGCAGGTGATCTGAAGATCAGGGAACAAAGGAACCCCCTCAGCTCCCTCAAAGTCCGCTGCTGGGCGGGCAAAATGAGTTGTGCCACTCAGAAGGATCTGGGGAGCATCAGGCTGAAGGACTACCACATAGCCTTCCACTTCGGGGATGGAGACACAGGACTCTTCACTGAAGCACCTATATGAGAAGAGAGGCAGCTTGTCACTCCCTTGAAAACCTAGAGTCTGCCCAAGCATGATGGTGCATGCCTCTGACCCCAGCACTTGGAGACAGTCAGGTGGATCTGTGTGAACCCAAGGCCAACCTGGTCTACATACAAGTTCTAGGTCAGCCAGAGCTTCACAGTGAGACTGCGTCTCAAGAAACAGAAGTCTAGAGTCTTTTAATACCTCTGAGCCCCTCTGAGAGTAAGGGGAAGAGAGAATGCAATGCCAACCTCCCTATACCCAACCCCCCACAGCAAAATCCTTCCTTGTATGGCATTGCTGTAGGAAAAGCAGAGGGTAAGATAGCCTCAGCCTGCGGAGTGATCATGTCATCAAGGCTGTAAACTATGGGAAGTCTGACACGTTCTATTTTAACAAATTTAAAAAAAGGAAACTAATAAATTGTGCATACACTGCTATTTTGCAGCCTCTTTCTGCCTTTCCGCCAAGCATGGTAACACATGCCTGTAACCCCAGCACTCAAGGGGCTGAGACAGGAGGATTGCAAGTGCACGACTACCTGGGCTAAAACTCTGTCTCAAAAAAATTTAAGTATATACACATAGCTCCTTACCCAGTGACAGTTGCATGGGTTCAGTAAAATATCTGCCATATATGTGCCCCAAAACATCCAACACTAACAGTGTTGGGGTATCTATCAATAATGTCCGTGTGTGTGTGTGTGTGTGTGTGTGTGCGTGTGTGTTCTATTACATCTGCCCAGAAGACTTGCTCAGCCAACCAACCAGCTATGCTCCCAGATACTCTCCAGCCCTAGCCCTTGCAGAGCACCCTGACCCCTCACAATCTCAAGCTCTTGTTAGCTTATGAAGCATTTTGTCACATTACTTCCTTACAGCAGTGTTTCTGATAAGGATAAGACACCAAAGCTTGGAGTCATGCATGATAGTGCCATCTCTAATTCCAGCATTCAAGAGGCTGAGGTAGGAGGATTACTGAGTTCAAGGCTACACATCAGAGTACCAAGCCAGCCTTGGCCAAATAGGAAGATCTTGCATCCAAAAATTAATTAATTAATTAATTAATTAAAAGAGTATGACACATATAGCTAAACACTAATTACCAAACAGAGGGATACTACAGTGATGTAGTGTCATACATTACATGTTTAGGACAACACTATTCAATATAAACTTATTAATATTCTTCAGTTGCAATAATAGAAGTGTCTTCTATCTACTATAAGACACTTAAAATAGCTTAATATAGTAAATCAATATTTTGTGTCTCTGCAGTTAATGACTGTGATCACAGCAAACTTGTTCTCTACTTCAAACATATGATTCAATATATTTTTTTTAAAAACCCTTGATGTGGTAATATTTTGTTTATGCTCTAACAAATAAAGCTTGCCTGAAGATCAGAGGGCAGAGCTAGCCACTATCTAACCATAGAAATCTGGAGGTCTGTGCAGACAGACAGGAAGAGGTATGGCTACACAGAGAGAGGAAAATAAGGCAGGAGGAGACAGGAACTCGGTCTCTTTTTTGGCTGGGAAGTGGAGGAGATAAAGTGTGCCTGTGGTTTGCTCCTTTGTCTCTCTAACCTTTCAGCATTTACCCCTTTATCTGACTCCGGGTTTTCATTATTAAGACCTACTAGAACCCATGCTACACCTTGGTTCTCTCAGGATACTGTAGTTCAGTTCCAGTGTGTCAGGTTGGGTAACTCCAGCTCCAGGGACACTGATGCCCTCTTCTGGCCTCCAACAGCAGTTGCACACAGAAGCACATACACAGACAAACACTTATACACATAACTAAAAGAGTTGAAAAAGTAGAATTTGAGGAACTTGGTAGTCTCTCAGTAAAAGAATAACATTCTAAGCTTGGTGTGATGGGGCATACCTGTAATCCCAGAGCTCACGAGATGGAAGCAACTAAGTCCCTGTGATTTCTTGGCCAACCTAGTCTACAAATCAAGATCCAAGCCAGTCAGGGCTACATGGTGAGTGAGGCTCTACATAAATGCCAAAATAAAAATTTTAAAATGTCAGGGAAGAGAAAAGGAAGGAAGGAAATACTGGGCCACACCAGCAGTATTTTCATAGAGTCAAGTCTTCAGCCAGAATCCAACTGCAGCCTATGTCTGAAGCCTGATTTATACCAGGGAAATTTCCCCTCCGTCTCTCACCGTCTCTGTGTACCTACCACCACAGGACAACAAAGCAAGACAGCCTTGACCAAACTACAGTGCCTCAGCCTTCACATCCCAGTCTCCCAACCTACGAGAAATAAACCTCAGTTTTCATAAATCCCCCATCTCAGCTGCCCCATCATACAACAAAGTCAGTCAGGAAACTGTGAAAGTGAAAGCAGCTTTGGAACCAGGAAATGAGTTAGAGGCTGAAACACTTTTGAAGGGAATGCAGGGGAAGGGGCTGTGTTACCATAAACGGGGGATTAAGGAGATTCTATTGAGGACTCGGAGAGAAGAAACCACTTTGTTTTGTTTTGGCGAGTCCAGAGCTCACCGGTTGGTTACGTTGGATGGCAGAGGGCTCTGAGGGTGACTGTCTCCCTCACTGACCGCCCCCCACCATCTCATCTCTAGGGTTACAGATGCACGCCACCTCCTGGCTTCTTCTTGCCAGTGTTGGAGTTCTGAAATCAGGTTCATGCTTGAGGAGTGGGCACTTTAACTACCCAGCCAGCTCCCCAGTATGGAACTTCTTAGAGACGACTGAAGATGTCATAATCAGGATTTTGCTAGAGATATGGTTCATATGGGCCATTCTGCTGAGGTCTAATGAGGAGATGGGAGTGCGGAGTCTCTTGTGGAAACCAGAGTAAGGTTTCCTTGTGAATACTGACAAAGGACTGAGCTGCGTTCTGTCCAAGTCTGGGCATTTTTGGAAGCAGAACTTAAACTCAATGAACAAGAAGAGCTGGCAGGGGCTGGAAATATGGTTTAGCAGTGAAGAATGCTCCCTGCTCTGCCAAAGGATGCTAATTTCGTTCCCAGCATCCACTTCTGCAGTTCATAACTGCCTGGGACTCCAGCTCCTAGGAATCTGGTGCCCTCTTCTGGATTCCACAGGCTCTCACAAGCACAAACACGTGCATACTTTTTAAAAGGATAGTTAGTGACTCTAAGGCAAATATTGAAGAAGTTGCGTGTCTAGTTATAGGATTATAATGAAAGAAAACTAATTTAGAGATGGAATTCATAATTCAAAAGCAAACAACTTATGGATTTGAAGGATTCACAGCCTCCCAAGAAAAGAATGAATAAGCAGACAAGAACGTAGTAAGCGAATGATCCCTTGACAAAGGGATTAGTGTGGACAGAAGGAAGGTGCTGTCAATCAAGACAGTGGAAAAATAAAGACATTTCAGACCTCTTCAAGGCAGCCAGCCTTGGGGTGTGGAGAGAAATCAACATTCCAGGCCTGGGTCACTTCAGGTCTCTTCTCCCCACCCCCTTTCCCATCCCCCACCCCCTTTCCCATCCCCACCACACACACACACACACACACACTACCGTAGTCAGTCATGGTTAACCATCCCAGGTGCAGCTTGGATCACCTACGAGAGCACACACAGGCTTTGGTAGCATCCAAGTGGTGGCTATTAGAGAGAAGGGAGCATGGTTCATTTCACCTTGGTCTCAAACCATGTCACAGAGAGCCCCAAGAGTCATGAGGGCAGAGACAATATAGACAGTGTCAAGGCAATACTGAATGGAACAGTCAGTCCTCCAGAGCAATGAAGGCAAAGTCACCAGAGACAGCAGAGCTGCAGAGCTCCCAGCATGGGTCACCAGCCTGGCAAAGCTACTGTTAGAGCTGTTACATAACTGATCCCAGCGAGTCATGGAAGGAGGGCTGTCCGATGCCTTCTGGCTGACCCCCATTCCAGTTCTAGGAGCAGCACACGGAGTGGAGGTTATTTGAAAGCTTTTCAGTTGTTTTGTGACAGGAGCCTCATTGTAGCCCAGGGTGGCTTTGTTCAAACTCTCTGTGTAGCCAAGCATAACCTTAAATTTCTAATCCTCCTATCTCCACCTTCTAGGTTCTGGGACTGTAAGTCATGTGCCAGTTTGTGTTGTGCTGGGACTCAAACTCAGGACAAGCAAGTCCACCAACTGAGACCCATTCTCTAACTCATTACTCTTAAATCTTAAGCTTTGAAATTGGCACAGCTGGAGAGACAGCTCCACCAGCAAAGTACTCACCACGCAAGCATGAATCCCTGAGTTTAGCTCTCCAGCACCCCATAAGAGCTGGGCATGGCGATGCATGCCTGTACCGGAAGTGCTGGGGTAGCAGGGACAGGAGGATCGTTGAACTTACTAGCTAGCCAATCTAGGCAAATCGGCACACTCCAGATTCAGTGAGACCCGTCCCAAAGGATAAGGTACAGAGTGGCGGAGAAGGACACCTGCTGTTCATCTCTGGCCTCCACTCATATGCACACACGTTCACATACAAACAAGTGCATGTATGCATATGCAAAAAAGGAAATAAGACATGATATTAGGTAAGCAGGTGAGGCACACTTAGAACCCCAGCACTCAGGAGGCTGAAGCAGGAGGGTCACAGGTTCAAGGCCAGTTTGGGCTGCCTGGTGAGAAGCTGTCAGTCCTGACCACTAGAGGGAGTGCTTGGAGGCAGCTTTCTCTGTTTCCTTCATTCTTCTCCCTTTTGGGACGGGTGTGTCTAAACTATGGGTATTCCTTTCATTGTTCTGGAGAAACAGCTAATCCTCTCAGTCATTGTACGGGCAAAGAAGAAACCCAGGGTTTATCAGCCCCTGTATCGCACCTAGATCTCGTCTGGTAATACTCAAGACTGTGGGTGTTTTTTGAGCATATACTGGGATGAGACAGGACTGTTGGAGTGGAATGGATGTAGTTAGGCCCAGCGGGATACAGCCTCATAAATGGGACAGTACTGTCTAGAAGAGAGAGGGGCTTCTGCTTAACAGATCCCTCCCTCTCGTGTTCAAGTTCTTTCTCTTGGTCCCTTCCTCTTCTTAGTCCCTCCTTCCTGTCTCTTCTCCCTCCTCCTCTCCCTCCTCACTTCCCCCTTCCCAGTCTCTCAGCTATTCCGTTAGGGGATGATAGTGCAAGGAGTCCCTAGCCGGACACTGGCCACCAATCTTAGACTTCCCAGCCTCTAGAACTGTAAGAAAAAGTAAATCTTGATCTTTCTAAACTACCCAGTCTCAGGCATTTTATTATAGTAACACAAAATAGACTAAAGCCAGGCATGGTGGCAGATGCCTGTGATCCCAGCCTGATTCAGGAAGCTGAGGCAGGAAGACCACTGTGAGTTTAAGGACAGCTTGGGCAACAGAGTAAGACTCTGTCTCAAAAACAAGAAGGGAAAAAGGCTGATTCAGCCTTCTTGAACAAACAGTCTTGGAAAATGGGTTGTGGTTCTGCAGGTCTAGGGACTCTGGTCTCTGTGACTGGATTAGGTGAAAGGATTTGGAGGAGAGGACTGAAGTCATCAGCACATCGGGTTGACTGCTAGAACTACAGAAAAAGCCGAGCCCTCAGCAGGTGCGATGGGCTCGGAGCCCCTGGAAAGAGCCTGTCATAACCTACAAATGGTCCCAGCTGCCTGGGAATGGAGCACAGGCAGCAGCAGACCTAGGCTGCACTCATACCCTAGGGGATTCGAACGGAAGAGAAGGCTATACCAGCTTCGAAAGCCAAATGAACCATCTGGCATAGACATTCTGTGTGCACCCAAACTTCACACTGCCAGCGAATATGGTCACCCCAGAATGAGTGGGGGAAAAAATGGAAAAATAAAAGTGAAGATTCAAAAGAAGGACTAATTCTTTCTGGGCAAGATAGTAATAGAGTATTTATATATATTTTAAAAAAAAGAAGGTAGAAAGAATCGGGAAAATTAGCAACTGGGGCAGCTTTGAAAGGGTGAAGGACTTTGCACAGCTGGGAGTTATATCAAGGACGAAGAACACACTTCAAGGAGTGACAGAGAAGCAATAAAGCCAGCAGGGGCGGAGGCCTTGAATCAGTGATTAGATTAGTGTTTCCTTTGCAGTTTTATGACACAGACCTCATGGTGTCTGTTTCATTAAAAAATGGTCTGGTTTGAGCTAGGCATGACAGTGTACACCTTTAATTCCATCACATTGGAAGCTGAAACAGGAGGGTCTCAATCAAAGCCAGCCTGCATCAAATGGCAAGACCATGTATTTAAAAGGAGGAGGAGGAGAAGGAAAAAGCAAAAAGAAAAAGAAAAAAGTCTGATTTAAGATCACTGGAACAGCCTGGGGTAGGGGAGAAAAAGAATTAAATCAACTAGCTGGAAAGGTAAGACAAAAGGGCAGGGTAGAGTAATGAGGGATTGGAGTTCAAGAGTTAAGTTTCAGATGCCCAAGCTCAGGGACAGGTCCTGTGTGATTTGACAATTAATGGGGCATAAAGGACAAAGATAGGGAAGAGTCAAAGATGACTCAGGGGACTGGGGCCTGAGTGACTTCAAGGTCAGAGATGTCATTAGAAAAGAAGTTAGAAGCACTGGCCCCTTTGGGCATGGGTTATTGAAAGCCAATTATTTCAGCATTGGCTCATCTAGGTTGAGGCTACAGCAAACAGGTATAAAGTCAAGAACCACCGAGAGGACAAAGCTAGAGAAAAAAGATGGTGGTGGTCATCTATCCAGGGGCTAATGTCAAGTAAGCAGCTCTCCAAGAAATACATCTTTCTAAAGTTTAAATCATTTGATTCTGCCAATCCTGATGGTACAGGCCTATAATTTCAGCTCCTAGAGAGGCTGAGGCAGGAAGATCACAAAGTCAAGGCCTGCATGAGCTGCAGAACAAGTTCTCAGACATCCTTGTCAACTCAATAAGAACCTGTGTCTCAAGAAAAATGTGAAAATAGAGCCAGGGATATAGCTCAGTGATCGAGCACTTGCCTATTATGCACAAGGCTCTCATACCAGCAAAAAGTGGAGGATGGGGCAACTTGCATAAATCTGACTTTAAATGATCAGAAATCCAAACACTGGAAACAAGAAGCTGGGAAAACCATACAGATGAAGAGAAAGGATGTATCTCAGGGGACAGGGCTGATGGGCAGCTCTGTCTCTGCTATGAGATGGACACACACACGCAACGCACGCACGCACGCACACGCGCACACACACGAACCTCCAAATTGTTTCCTATGACTTCAAGAAAGTGAGGAGGACCAGCCACATAGTAGCCCAGAGGAAAATAAGGGCTGGCAAGTATTAGCTTGAATTAGAAAGACACTTGCCTAGCATGGACAACAGCCAGGGCTTGATCCCCAAACTCCACATAAGCTGATGTGGTGACATGTGACTACAACCATAGGACCTGAGAAATAAAAGCTAGAGGACAGAGAGACCAAGGCCATCCTCAGTTATATAGTGACTTTGAGGCCAGCATGGACTACATGAGACCCTGGAGAGACAGAAATAAAGGGAAGAAAGGAAGATATCTCATTTTTAAAATGTCAAGGCCTCGTCCCTCTTCTGAAAAGACCAAAATCAGTTTCCAAGCCTAGGTGGGAATGAGGTAGCAAAGACCCTGACACAAGCCTTCTGGGATGCCCTGCAGGAGATCTACCCTTGACCAAAACACAGTCCGACCCCCTGCTGTAGCTCCTGAGTACATGGATGGACTGAGGCACCTTCTTGGTTTCTGAGGGATGGAGATGCCTTAAGAATTCTGACTAGAGGGATTGAGAGATGGCTCAGGGGTTAAGAGCATTGCTCCCAGAGACCCCAGGTTCAGGTCACCGCAACCACATGGCACATCAATACAGATTATAACTCCATCTCTAAGCGATCTATGGATGCCCTCTTCCAGCCTCTGCCAGCACTGCACAAATGTAGTATGCAGACATACATGCAGGCAACACACCCACACACATAAGATAGATACTCAATAGTCTGCAGTCTGACTCCACAGTGTAACCTCAGGACGGCCCAGCAGCCCCCTCCACAGGTCTGACTGGAGCCTGGTAAATGTGCCAGCTTCCCACAGGCCTCGGTGTCCCTCTCTCAAGATATCTGAAGTCAAATGCTTTGGGGAATTTATGGAGAAACTGAGGCCGAGAAGGGAGAGCACATGAAACCCAACTCCCAAATTGTGTGGCCCACCCACTAGATGGCAGTACTCCTAAAACTGCCCTACATACCCCAAGTAGGGTTGAAAATGCCTTCACAGAGGGACTGGTAACACCCACATAACGGGTAGCTTGGCAAGCGTTTGGTCCAGATTGTAGCATTTAGTTCATAACAATTCCACTGGTCAGGTTTTATTATCCCTCGAGTTGTTTTTTTAAATACCTAATAAATACCTAAACCTTGAAATCCTCATTTTTTTTTTCTGCTAAGGAACTCAAAAATCATCCCATTAGAATACAAAGTTCAGCAAACCTTTCCCATAAATCGCTCTTTTGGAGCCTGTCCCCACTACTCACCTGCCAGGGCACTATAAAAGCAACCATGAACAGTAGGCAAACAGGCAGGGCTGTGTTCCATTAAAACTTTCCAGACTAGACAGCAGGCCAGATTTTGTCTGGGACCATTCGTGGTCCAGGTTCATCAGATTCATTTTGCAAAAGCTTGGTGAAGTAAGACTAAAATAGGCAAAAGCAAGCAGAGCTCACCATTTGCCCAAGGTCATCCAAAGAATTAGTATCGAGTCAGAATTAATTCCAGGTGCCCCAGCTTCCAACCTCTCTGTCCCATTTTATATATCAGCATAGAGAAGATCAGAACACCCAAACCCTGGCAAGACACTTTTCGCAGAGAGGAACAGATTGGCAAACCTGATTCTGGCCCAAGCTCTTCTATGCACATGACCTTCAACAGGTCAACTATCTTCTCTCAGTGCTCAGAGGGGGACATGAAATGAGGAAGGTGTGGCTAGCTCTAGTGACGTCCTAAGACCTCCCACCCATCACTCACTTGACAGCGGTGGTGAGGCGCAGCGGCCTGACGCCGGGTGTGGCAAAGCGCAGAGTGTTCATGTAAGCCACATGCTGCAGGGCATGGTTGAAGGTCTCCACATCATCCCCTTCCAGGGTGAGCAGGGACTGCGAGGGGTTCACGTGGACCTGGGTCCCAGACACAGACAGAACTAAGAGCAACACCAGGAGGCAGGAGACGAAAGGTGCAGAAGTGTGGAGGGTCAAGGGGAGGGGCAAGGGCATGCCGGGGAAAGAGAGGGAGTGGAGGGGGCTATACCTTCATGCCTTTGCCCAGGCTCTCGAAATCCCTATAGTCCAGCCCCTCCCGACATGCATAGAGGCACTCGATGACCTCACGGCTCTCCAGGCGACCTGAGCGCACGCTGAAACCAGCCAGGTAGCCGTGGAAGTAGTGGTGGATCGGCAAGGGGTCTCCTAGAGCAGGAACACAGGAGCAGGCCAGGTGGTGAGAGGAGAGGGGAGGGGGTGGGGCCGAGGGGGAGGGCTGATAGACAGGGGCAAGGAAAAACTCACAGACAGCTTGAGAAAGAAAATGAAAATATGGAAATAAAAGAGATGAGAGGTGAGAAAGAAGCGGGGTGGGCTGGGAGGGGGCGTGGATGGAGAAGACCGATGAGGCAAAAGGCAGGACCGAATTTCCGCCTAGCATGTGTGAGGCTCGGGTGTCCCCTGGCAGCACAGGTGAAGAAAAATGAGCTCTGGGTTCGTCCCCTGGCAGCACAGGTAGAAGAAAAATGAGCGGGGGGGGGGGGGGGGGGACACAATGAGGAAGGGGAGGAGAGGGGGGGCAGGTGAAAGGCTTCTGAGAGAAGCGAGGAAGAAACCCACAGTCAAGAGGAACATTCGAAACCAACAGGAAGTGAGGGGTCTGAGAGAGGCAGTCTTTCCAGGGACATGCAGGGACTCCAGGATGAATGTGTGTGATCTTCACAGATGCCTGGACTGTCCCCTCCTGTATCTGCTTTCTGCCGTGTGGAAACCTTACTACACTCTAGGAGCAGGGGGAAAAACACCCAGAATCCAGGCAAGCTATGCCCAGACTTCCTGCTCCGAGAACACCCTGCTTGGTAAACGTTTAGAAACTACCATGGTGGCATGTGAAGCAGAACCTAGAAAGGCTGGATAGGGGCAGACAGCTGGGATTAAAACTCCGGTCTCCATTTCTCAGACACGGTGTACCTGGGGTTGTGTCTGTACTGTTGTCTCCTCCTTTATCCTTGTCTTTGTTCTTCTCTTCTGGGAACCAAGGGAAAAAAGTGTCAGTGATCTGAGGGCTGTGACCAGAAGTTCCAGAATTCTCCCAAGTCACCTCAGCCTGTAGGGTTGGCAGGCTCCCGGCAGAGCCCCAACCCCTCTTATACCATCCCCACTCTCGCAGGCCTCTGTTACAGATCACTCTATTGCTGAGGAGACAGGAATGTTCTGGTAAGATTAGTACACAAATGGAAGACTTCCAGTCCTCTGAAAGATTCCTGTCCTCCTGCGAGGGAGAGGCCGTGGAGATTGCCATCTCTTTGAGGAAACAGACTGAGAGCTGGCTGGAGTTACACTGTAGACTTATGGATGGAAATTCCACCCAGTTTACATAATGCAGGGAGAGGGTATCAGAAGCGAGGTTCCCCTCCAGCAGAAATCATTCGGAGAAGTCTCCCTGCTCAGCTGTACACAGAGATGCAGGAGGTAGCCTCTGCAGAGGGACAGGCCACTCTTGCTCCTCACCTGACCACCTCCCCTCAGCCCTAAGCCACTGAGACTCTACTGAGGTCAGGGGACCCACCAGTCCAGCAGGCCCCAATCATGAGTGCAGGTTCCCTCCTGGGTGGGTGGATGAGCCCATTGTCATGGATGAGAGCAGGGTCGAAGGAGATGCCATCAGTATAGAGTGTAACTGTGGGGAACTCGAGGTTCAGGGCGTAGTGGTGCCACTCGTCGTCACATACCTGGGGTGCAGAGTGAGGGCAAGAGCCCCTCAGTTACTTGCTTTCCAAGCCCCGGCCCTGCTCCATGTCCTGGAGACAAGACAGTTCTACACATCCCCAGCTCTACCAGCAGGGCCGCCCACCCAGCTCAAGGAATGGCATCATTGTCCAAAATCTGCAAGGCAGGCAACCTCATATAGAAAACCCCAAGAGTTAGGGGAACCTTTAAAACTACAAATAGAGCTAGGTACTGGAGTACATGCCTAAAGTCCAGCAACTCAGAAGGATGAGACAGGACGAACACTTGAGTCCAGGAGTTTGAAGGTTAACTGGGCAACACAACAAGCTCTTGTCTCAAAAAATAAAGTAACAACAACAAAAACCCTGCTATGTTGTAAATGAATTTTTCCAAAGTTGTTTGTGAATGGATAGATGGATGATACTGTGATTTCCAGGTGGTTTCTAACCCAACAGCAACCTCTGGGGCATCTACTGCTTCACTTTGCCATTCTCCTGGAGTCATCAAGGAGCAGAGGGAGAGATGGGGGTCTCTTCCTTACCTACTTACCAGTACTGGGATCCCTCCCTGCTCCCTGCTCTACATCCCATTCCTAGGAGGATCCTAGCCTACTCATAGGACTGTTCCTCAGTCCACACTCACACTGGCAATACTGCCATGTCCATCTCCAGCCCAGAGCTTGCCCCGAATTCTGGGCTTTCCACTCAGATGCCTCACGGCCATTTCAAATGTAATATGCACAAGATGGAAGCCCTCACATCCCATCCTCCACTCAAGCCACTAGCAGGTGCTTTCATCTCAGGGTCAAGCAAAACTAACAGCTGTGGGTTTCTACTTAGACTCTCCATCTCCATGGTCCCCAGGCCCTTTAGTGTGAAGTCACAACAGTTCCATTGCTCGACTTACCTCCTCTTCTTCTTTGTACTGGAGACAGAACCTAGGACTTTGGGCTTCTGAGGCAAGCACTCTACCTCCAAGCATATCCCTGGTCCAGTCTTTTTCTGACTTTTTATTTCTTCTTTGTTTGGTGGGTTTGGGGTTATTGGTTTGTTTGCTTGCTTGCTTGTTTATTTGTTTGTTTGTTTGAGATAGGGTTCTACATGTAGCCCTAGCTGTCCTAGAACTCATTTTTTAGACCTGGATATCCTCAAACTCACTGAGATCCACCTGTCTCTGTCTCTGCCTCTGCCTCGAGTGTTGGGATTAAAGGTATGAGCCATAAGCCATCATGGCTGATGGTTTGGATTTTTTGAGTCAGAGTCTCTTGTTGCCTGGGCTAGCCTCAACCTCGCCAGAGCCTTGAACTTCTGACCCCTCTGTAGGCACCATGACATATAATTGTATGTAGCACTGGAGAATGAGCCTAGAACTGTTCTCAGCTCCTCTCACATCCCATCCTCCACACCCAAACCACCAACAGACACTTTCCTCTCAGGGCCAAACAAAACTGACAGCTGTGGGTTTCTATGTAGGACTCTCCATCCCTGGACCACTATTAGTAGGCAGGCACTCAGTCAACTGAGCTGTACCCCAGACAAACGATGGTGGTGATGATGATGATGATGACGACAGTTATGATGATGTTTGAAAAACAAAAACAAAGTCTCACTAAATTGCCAGGAAAGTCTTGAACTTTCAGTCCTCCTGCCCAACCTCTGAGGTAGCTGGGATCGCTGGCCTGTGCCACTAGGCCTGGCTTACTTCCACTCCTCTACCTCATCAGCATGGTCCTCCCACGAATGCCCAAGTGACCACCTTCAAATACAACTCTGACCACGTCATAGTCCTGCTTTAAGGCCTTCACACTGGGCTTCCTAAAGACACAGCCCATCTCTCCAAGCGTCCTTCAGCCCTTCCCCATTGTCTGCTATGTCCCAGCCCCGCCCACCTCCACTAGAGGCTGGCTTAGAGGTCAAGGGTTGACTTGCACACACTGGCTCCTGGGCTAGATCCTCAACTCTGTCAAAAAGAGGAGATGGGGAGAGAAACAGAAGGCAAAGGAGGGACAAAGAAAAAGATAAAATAGCTTACCTACTCAACTAAAATATAAGCTAACTGAAATCGAGTATTTTGGTTCATATTCTATTAATATTATTTAACTCCATTGTACCCTAGAATCTATCTGTTGAAAAGGCAGCACTTAATTGGTGTTTAGTAGATGTTTTAAATAAATGAGGATACAGAACATTTAAAGAGAAGGACTAGAGAGGCAACTTGGTGATAGAGCACTGCCCTAGCCCTGTGTCCAGACACTAGAGATTCTTACAATGAGACTGGAGAGATGGCTCAATGATTAACAGCACTCTGTCTCACTTAAGAGCTGTTCTTCCAGCTGGGCAGTGGTGGTCCACGCCTTTAATCCCAGCACTCAGGAGGCAGAGGCAGGTGCATCTCTGTTACTTTGAGGCCAGCCTAGTCTACAGAGCTAGTTCAAGGACAGCCAAGGCTACACAAAGAAACTCTGTCTTGAAAAAATAAATTACTGAAAACCAGTAGGCTTCCCAATCAACACTGAACTTGACCCCAGCATTGCTCAGTTTCCTGGTTACGACTAAGAGTCGGGGACAGATACTGTTACATGAGTTATATATAAGAAGAGAATGAAATAAAACAAGGGTCAGGATGGATGGCCGGGTTTGGTAGAGTTGCCCCAACTTCCCTTCAATCCATGAATGGACCAGACAACCTGGGGTAGACTAATCAGGGACTGAGGCTGGAGGAGGGCCATTCAAAGAGCAACAACCCAGAAGCTGGGAAACACTCTCCCTAAAAGTTAGCTCCACCCACCCAGCCCTGTGGGAGGCAGGCAGGCCCCTGTCTCACCTGCTCCAGCTTCCAGAGGAACTTGACTGGCCGCGCACTCTCAAGCAGTGGCCAGTAGAGGAAGGAGATTCTGCAGCCATGGACAGTCAGTGAGTAGTGAGAGAAGCCATCCTCTAAGGGGACAGAAATGGGAACAGCAGTCAAACACAGGCCTGAGGCAAGAAAAGGTTCCAGGTGGCAGCTGGGGGTCCTGTCTCTTGTGCTCTCATTTTTTCTCTGTCATTGAAAGGAACATGCGGAGACAAAGCCAGTCAGCTCCTAGGGAAAGGATGGGTAAACCACTAATTTCCATGTGCAGTGGTGGCCTTCATGGGTGAAAAGACAGGACAGGGATGCAGGCACACACTAACGTGGCAACTGCCAATGAGGATAATGTTGTCTGGGAGTCAGTCCCTCTGCGCCTAGAGCAGGAACATCTCAGCAAGTCACAGAATCACAGGGGTGTCAGATCCTGCCCACGAACTGGGCATGGTGGCATTTGCCATAGTCACAGCGAGGCAAAAGGACCTCTTGAGTCCAGGAGTTCAGCCTAAGCAACACAGCAGGCTCCATCTCTTTTTCTTGGGGTGGTGTGGGAAGTACAATGAGGCCTTTCTGTGACCTCAGCACTCAGAAGGCGACGTAGCAAAACTGTCTATTTCAAACTACTAAGCAAAACTAGCACTGGCAACTTACAAATTAAAAGAGGGGAGGAAACCTGCCAACAGTCTGCACTGAGTGGTGACAGGTGGCAAGTGCAGGACAAGGAGCCAGTGTCCACCCTCAGGTTAGGGCCCCAAGGAGGGCTCACCATTCTGAACTGTGTTACACACGATGGTCTCCTCCTCCTTCTTCCCCTTGTTGGGAGTCACACCATGCTTCATCCAGAAGGACAGGGTAAAGTGGTCACTAAGGCCATCCTGCGGCCCAGAGCCCAGCCCTGCTGGGCCACCCAGGGGAACTTGCACAGCTTGGGTGCCATTGAACCAGTAGATGAGGCTGCTGTCCTGGCTGTAGTGCACCGAGAGTCCCGCTGTCCAGTTGGCGTTGGGGCCAGGCATGGGCAGCAGGTCTACCTCCCCAGTAGCAGCACCTGCAGAGGTACCAACAGAATCAGAGCTGAGGCACAGAAGATGAGGAAATGGGAAGGAATGCTGACAACTATTCGCCACCTCTTGGAGCCTTTCAAAGACAAGAGGATAGCTCTCTTTCTTCTAGAAAAGCCTCTCATTAACTCAGCCCATTCACCAACTCTTCCTTGCTCTCAAATATTGTGCGTCGAGTACTGGGCCCATCTTCACCATCTTCACCACCATCTACCAGCCCTTTGGGCCACCAAAGCTCCCAAACACGCCTCAACTCCCATGGCGAAATAAATACCTGTGATGGCTTGAGGAGTCAGCTTTCAGAAAGGGGACAGAGAGGGTGAGGGGTGGTTGGGAAGGGATGGCCCTGGGGGAGTGGAGATGCACGCACCACAGAGCTTCCGCAATGCCCTCTCGGAGTAGTTGTCTCGGTCACAGCCCTTGGCCACATGGCTGGTCTGCAGCTCTATGGTGGCCTGAATGTTCCACAGTGGCTCGTCACAGGTCTCCAGGCGGATGCCAGGGAACAAAGCCAAACTCCCTGCGCCTGGGGCATACTCGATCCTTTTGTTCCAGCCTGCACAGGTGAGACAGGAGAGAAGGCAGATGGTAAGGCAGGCCCTCCGGCCATGGGCACTGACTGCAGCTCCTAGGAAAATGGCCTGCCTGGTAAAGCACGGCCAGCATCTAGCTAGCATTCCGTCCATGGTCATCAGATGAGGTAAGAAAAAATTGGAAGAAAGAAGAAAAATGACAGGTGATTTTCGAGCAGACCCCTGCCGAGCACCTCACCTTGCCAGCTGGGCTTGCAGGTGGGTTTCACCTGGATCTCTACCTCCGCGTCATCTGCCGTGCGCTTCTTCCCACAGTCATACGCTGTCACTGTGAACTTGTAGAGTTTCTCACCACTGTATTGTAGCTTCTCTGTGTTCTCGATGTTGCCTGAAGTATGAAACGGGAGGACAGACAGGTCAGGTGCACCGGAGGAAGCCCACTGAGGCACAGGAGGCGGAAGAGGGCAAGCGTCAACTGGTGCATTTATCAGCAGAATATGGGAAAGAGGTATCGGTGAGGGAAAAGGGGCCCCCACACAGAGCAACGCCCTGGGTCAGACCTCAAGGGAGCAGAGGAGGCTGGGAAACTAGGGACAGAGAAGACTCACCATCGTTGTCGATGAGGAAAGGGATGTTGGGTGTAAGGATCTCATAGTAGCAGATCTGGCTGTACTGAGGGGAGCAGTCGCCATCAATGGCTTCCACGCGTAAGATGCGATCATACAACTTCCCCTCTGTCACTGCAGCGCGGTACAGACGCTCCACAAACACTGGGGCAAACTCATTCACATCGTTGACACGAACGTGCACGGTTGCCCTGTACCCATAGGAACAGAATGGACATGGAAACGTTAGGCAGCTGCAAATACTGAGCAGGAGTCCAGATGGGGACCGGGAGGAGGGAGCCAGTCTACCCTTGAGACTGCTCATGCCCACTCTGCAGGGCACTAAGCTGTGCTAGAGTCGTAGCAATTATAAAACCATACCAGGGAAAGGGCCCAATGAAGAGGGCCAATGACATGGGGAAGAATAAACAAGCCCTAGAGAACTCCAGAAGCCGTCTTGGTGATTTCTGTCCAGAAGACTGTATTGAATGAGAAAAAGAGAATAAATAGGTTCTGCACACATCTGTTCAGCTGTCTGTTCCTGCCTATCTACGCATTCCATAGCACACACAGCTCTGGGTGTAGTTGGGGAGCCCTCATTAGGATGCCAAGGTGAAGGGAGGGGCAAAAAATAAAAAATACATAGATTCAGCAGGTCCCTGACTTAACAAAAGTCAAATCTTACAGAAGAAATGAGAAAGATGTAGACAAAAAAAAAAAAAAAAAAAAAAAAAAAAAGTTAAGACCAGCCATCAGAAAAGTGGCATTTAACTGGAAGTTATAAGTTGCCTGATACAGCTGAGTAGTTCGCCTACCTAAATTGTATCTTAGCCATGGACCTTCTCTCCTCACACATCTTCCCAGGCTAACAGAGCTAGGTCTAGGACCTTCATTCTATGCCCTGCCACTAGCCAAGAGCCAGGCTCCCAGGCTCAGATGCAAAGGTCTTGCCTCTAAATGGGAAACTAAGTCACAAAGACCCTTCTAACCTCTGATGCCTCTCAGTAGCTCAGGATTCCTTATTACTGATCTGTCTCCCATTGCCAAGTGAGAAATTAGCCAGTGACAGATGTAGGTGTCTGAGAACCGATCCTCTTCCATGCGTTTATAACCATCCCTCCCCAGCCCCTCCCAGCTGTGGGTTTGTCACAACCCTGATATATGCTGTGTGCTGCAAATGGGCCAGAGGGGACACTTGGATGGGGTCTGGCTGTGTGCAGAATCTTCCTCATTGTCTTGCAGGCACCACAGTGCCCATCTGCTGTGCAGCAGATGCAATGGGACATGCTTTTTTATACAAACCACCTCCCGTAAGCTCCCTAGCAACTTCTCTGTCTCATAGACAAGGAGAAGCAGGTCCAGAAAGTCAGAGTACATTATCCAGCGTACCCTCCTGTATGCTTGTGATGTTGATCAGAGATCCCTAAGCTCTATGAATAGCAGGGGTAGGGAGACATTCAGTCAGTAGGGTCAGGGACTAAGAGCCTTACTATTATTATGCTAGAACAAACAGCCATCAGTTGACACAGGAGAAAGAATAAATTGGACATTATACTCATTTTTGGTGATAACTCTGCAATAGTAAATTTGAGTCTGGAGTCATAGCCTGTTGATAGAAGGCTTTCTTGGCACAGGTAAGGTTGTGGGTTTTGTCCCTAGGTTCAGGTTGGTCTATCCTCTGCCAACAAGAGACTGAAGGGACTGAACTTGCCAGACTAAGCATCAGTCTCTGAAAGACCATTGTTGAAGGAGGGATTAAGAGTTCCATAACAAACAGGCATGAGATAGGCTTTCCTCACTTGTGAGACTTCTTGGTGTTGGCACCATCGGGCCCCTCGCCACAGTCATAAGCCTGGATGGTAAAGGTGTGTTCCTTCTGGGCCTCACAGTCCACGGGCTCCTTGGCCCGGATCAGCCCTTCACCTGTTGCCTTATCCAGGATCACAGCCTCAAAGGGTACCCCAGATCCATGCAGCCGGAAGCCACAGATCTCACCTGGCGAGGCAGGAAGAGAAAAATAAGACTCCACATGACCCAGAGCACCTCCTTCCAACCCTCAGCCTCCTTGCCTGGGCCATCTCCTCCCAAACTCCAGCTCCTGAGCAACACACTCAGAGTCAGCAGGCCTGAGGGCTGCAAAATCTAACTTGTTTATCCCCTGGCTGCTCAACTCTGACATCCTTTGCTACACCTTCATTCTTCAGGGCAGCCCGTTCCCTTCTTGCACCTCCCTTTCTCTGATGTTTTCCCATTGCTCCCACTACCAGGACCTCCCATCCCTCTCTTGCCTTCCGCCTTCCCACACGTTTTTCTCAATCCCACCACTGTAGCAGCCCCGTTACCTGCATAGCGCAAAGGGGCATCTTTATCCAGGGCAAAGAGTGGTGGGTTCAACAGGACAGTGTTGTCATTCTCCATGACAATGCCCTGGTACTCTGCCTCGATCCATGGCTTGTGCTTGTTGGCTGGCCCCACCCCAAAGAGAAGAGAGAAAGGACTTATGAGCAGAACCTCCACTCCCAGGATGCAGCTCTTGTTAAGCCTAGATCAACACCCTTTCCGTGCCTGGCCACCTTGCAAGAGGGAGAAGGTTGAGCTACAGAAGGACTCCGAGGCTCTGTAGGAGGTCACAGCCTTCTGTATAATAACTGGGTAGGCAGTTTCCATGGCAACGACCTTCCTGTGGGGATCATGGCTAGGGGCAGAGAATCTCATATAAGGTCTTTTAGTCTTGGAAAATGGGACTCAAGAAGCAATGGTGGCCCTTAGAAGGTCCCGAGAAGGGCCAGGGAGGAGTGAAGGGAAAGTTAGAGGGAAGAATATTTACGTTTCCTAGGATCTCAGCAGTTCATCCTCCCCCCCCCCCCCCCCGACCCCTACTGAATTTCACCCTAATCCCTTCACTCCATATGTTATGTACTTTTCTCCAAGTCCAGCGCAGCCTTCAGGCCACTCTCCCAGAAAAGGAGAAAGGGAAGAAGAGAAGTATATAGGACAGTAGCAGGGGGACAGAGGAGCAGGGATGGAGCAGAGAAATCAATGCCAAAGGACTGGACCCAGCAGAGCCAACATCCCCGGGGGATTATGGAGCTGGCCTAGAAACACAGCAAATCCCTGCCTCGTTTCCCATCCCCACACCCAAGAGAATGCAGTCATATCCAGTGCGTTTCTAGGTCCTCTCAAGACCTCCACACCCCACACTTCCTGAACTCTTTTACAGACCTACGACTGAATCCTAATTTACTCCTACCAGACTCTGTCAAGTAGGATCTCTTCCCCAAGACCAACTCCCCTCAAGCTCTCGAGAGGCTACAGGAAAGGCACTTATGCCTCTTCTACCTCATTCTAGACCCAACCTCCACCACTTGATCTACTTAACCCCAGGGCCATCCCTGCTCCCAAGGCCAGACACAGAGAGGGGAGGATATATCATCAGAGGGAAACTGAGTCACCAGAGGCATCTCATTCCAGGATCTCATAATGAGCAAGAAATTCTGATTTCCATCCCCTCCTCTAATCACAGCTCCGCAAATGTCCTGGAAACTACAGGCCTCACTATTACATGATGGTCCCTGCCACAGCCCCTTCCTTAATGGCCCAAGTGGAAGGCTCAAGATGGTACATGGGAGGCTAAGTAGGAAGTGACAGAGGCTCCTCTAGAGCCAGGAGGCCCATCCTGAAGTAGGAGTTCCAGCCAGACATAGAAGACGCCAGACAGAAGAGCCACCAAGGGCAGAGCCAGGCACCCTGAAACCTTGTGTCTCTCTCGTGGCCCCTGAGCCCTCTCCCTGCCCTCGTCTATGGCTGCCTCCTGCCCTGAGTGTCCATTCTTCTCCCTTTCTTGGCTCGCTTGGCTCTCTCCTCCCCTACTCCTCACCTTTCCTGCGATTTCCCCCCCCCTTCTCTGTCTTTACCTTCCTCCTTTCCCATCCCCTTCTGATTCCTTATCTACTCCTCCTCTCCCTTCTCACCTCTTTCCTGGGGCACCCCACGCCCCTTCCTAGCCTTTCTCCCTCCCCTCTACCTACCTGAACCCTCTGCCCCTGGCCCCACCCTCTCCCTCCCCTTGACAGCCTCAGCCGGCTGAATTTCTCTGCTGTCTGCCAGAGAGGGCAGCTGTGGTCACCCACCACCCCGCGGATGCAGGGAGAAGGGTATGGATGCAGAGGGACACGGAAAAAACATACGTGCTCAGAATTGCTGAGCTGTGGCACACAGTTCCTCCCCAGGAAGGGATGGAAACGACCAGATGGATCTGCCACACACCCTTAGTGCGCACACCCAGTGAAAACCAAGCTGAGGGAACATCACCCTCCGGGCAGGCGCAAGTTCCTTTGAGACAGGAGGTGTCTAGCAGCATGGAGGAGTTGGGGGGAGGGGGGCAGAGAGACCCCAGGTGGGAATGGAGACCAAATACAAGCAGGATGCTGGGCAAACACATATAAAGATGGATCAGAGAGGAGGAAGTGGCCCTTGGAAGTGAGATGGGTGAAGGGAACAGGTCTGAGGAAAAGGATGGGAAGAGGTAATCAGAAAGGAAAGGACACCTGTCATGCGCCAGTGAGTCTCAATGTCTCCTGCCTTCCCTGCCCCACACTGCTCAGCCCGACGCCCCACTTCAGCGCCCTCATCCCTGTCTATCTCACCTTTGTTGCCTGAGCTGAGCTGGAGCAGAGAGGTCAGCAAGAGACACAGCGGCAGGAGAGTCATGGTGCGGTGTACAGCACACCAGGCCAGGCGTTCCTGTCCCCCGGGAGCCTCAAGCCTGCTAATGCCACCTTGGGGAAGGGATGCGGAGATGCTACAAGGAGGGGAGGGCAGGGGGACAAAATCAGAAAGGAGCCTGCTGGCCACGCTAATCCATACGGCAGAGGCGTGCAGACCCGCTGGGTGGCCGAGGTGGGGGACTTGCAGTAGCTTCTCTTCGCTCTCCAGCCCAGCGTCCTCACTCTCGCTCTCTGGCTCGCTCGCTCTCACTCACTCCCACCCCAACCCCGCTACTGCAGGATGACATCAGCACAGCCAGGCAAGGATTGATGGGGCCGCTGGCCAATTGGAAGACTGGGGGCGCCAGGTGCTGCAGGGGGGGGGGGTAGGGAACGAATGTGACTGGGAGCAGGGGCGGGAGCGTGTGTTAGGGCTTTTTCCCCTGGCTGCAGTTTGGAGGAGCAGAGAACTGCGGGGGCTAGGGAGGAAGCTGGAAAGCCTTGGGGGGGGGGGGGAGGAGAAGATAAGGGAGACATCGGAAGACCTAGCTGAAAGCCCGGAGGTGGGGTGAGGACGGGAGACGTCAACAGACTTGAGGGTGGCCAAGAGAGGCTGTGTTCACGTCACCCACCCCCAATTCTGCATTAACCTCTTTTCACAGCCCGTTCCATCAGCTAGGCCCTGCTGTGTGCTTTCTGGGAACCAGGAGGCAAAGCCGTCAGCATGAACACGAGAAATTCTAGCGTTTCAGTTTCAACTCAGGGCCCCCTGGGAGCCAAGGAAGGGACGACGAGATGAAGAAAAGGGGTGACTTCCTGCGCCCCTTTCTGCGTAGTTCAGCATCTGGAATGTTAAGCTCTTTTTCCTACTTGCTTACAGTCCCTGACTTCCCGACCTTAAACCACGATGGAACTGCCCTACAGCTCGTGAAGCTGAAGGAGGAGCGCTGGACACTTTGGGAGACTAGTGGGCAGCTGGGCACAGGGTATACGGTGATTTCAATATCTCCCAAGCCATTATGACGGCATGCCTTGATAAGGATTGGCAGGTGATGGTATACAGGACTCAGAACTGAGAGGGAAACCCTGGGCCCCAAACCAAAGAGTGTAAAATCCTGAGCCCTCCCTTGCCTTCTCTTGAACTCATCACTCATGAGCTTCTTCAGCTCCTTGGCCTCCCTCTCACAGGCCCTTGAAGACCGAGAACACCAGTTTAAGGACCACACTCAGCCAACTGTGAAGGAGCTGTGGTGGCCCGGGGTCCTGGACTTTCGCAAATGGGGCTCCTGGCTGTGGGAAGTCCTAACCTCCTTCCCCCATACCTCTAAATAGCCTGAAATAGTCCCTCATGTCCTGGCTCAAAGACTAAAGCTAGAACTCTTAACCGCTCCACACTGCCACGCCACGGGGAGCCTCCAGAGGGAGCCCTCCCTCGGGAGTGCCCAAACCTGCTGGAAATGGTGTGAAGGCCAAAGTGAAGGCCAAAACTGACACTGCCAAGTAAGTTCAAGTTTTGAATGACTGACAGCTCCAAGGTCATTGCACAGAAAAAGCTGAGGCCAGGCATGGGTTCGTCACGTCCCTGCCTCTCCTCAGGCTGTAGACACCTGAGCTCATCATTAGGGGGGAGAGGGGGGTATCTCACTGCAGCAAAGGCCAGCCCTGTTAAAGCTCTGGTTCACTGAAACTTCCCACACTGTGTAGAGGCTAATCTGGGGTCTGTGAGCCTCCCCTCCAGACAGCACCCAGCATGGCCCTCAGTCTCTTCCCAACATGTTCCAGAAGAACCTGGGGGTCCTCAGTCATGACCTCATCCTTTGTAATCCCATCCTCCGGCTCTCTTCCTCCTCTAGGTTCTGCTGAAAGCCATGCCAGATGGGAACAACACCTCACCTGATGGATTAGGATCCATTCCCCTCCAAAGCTCTGTCCCTCCACAGCCTTGACATCTGAGTGGCTCTGAGGGAATATGGCCAAGGCTGGATAAGATCAACCCCAGCATAACCACATTGTGGGGAAGCCTCTTAGCTCCATCTGGGCAGACATTATGGAGTCTGAGAGTATGGGGAGGCTGGATGACAATGCCAGGTACCAGAGGTTCTTCCGGGTCTTTGCCTGCTCTGGTGTGACCCGCTGGTGGGGGCTTTGAGGTGCGCTGGCGAGCTGGGAGTCCACACCATGGACTCAGGACATGGAAGAAAATGGTGAAGGGCAAAGAGACATTGGAAGTCATTAGAAATATAGCCCTCCTTCAGCTACAGGACAAAAGGAGATATCCGAACTCAACTTGACCCAACAGGGACCAAGGAAGAGATTGTTGCAGAAGCTGTCACTGTCTCATCCACAGTTATGGGTCTGGAGCCATTGATAGCACTACGAGAGATGCTTCCTTGCCCATAACAGCCAGTGGCAGGATACATCATGAGTGTCCACTGGGTTTGTAGTGGCTGCGTGAAGCATGGATATCCTCAAGGTCTCCAGCAGCAGCATGGGCCATGGACATCAATATGGCCTTAGGTAGCAGCACAGGTCACATGGCCTCTGGTGGCAGCATGGACCACAGACAAGATTGTGGCTGTCAACAGCATGATGGACCACAGACCTCCACATGGCCTCTTGTGGTGACATGGACAGCAGACATCAACATGGCCTCCTGTGGGAGCATGGACCACTAACATTTTCTTTGATTTTTCACAAATGATTATTTATCTATTTGCTCTTGGAGCAAAAGGTCATGCAGGTATCTTAGTTGCATTTTCTATCGTGTCGATGAAACACCGTGACCAAAAACAAGCTGGTGAGGAAATACTTTGTTGGGCTCACACGTCCATGTCTCTGTTCATCACCAAAGGAAGTCGGGACAGGAAAGAAACAGAGCGTGCACCTGGAGGCAGGAGCTGTTGCAGGCAGACCTGGAATGGCCCCACTCTCAATGGGCTGGGCCCCTTCAATCAGTAATTAAGAAGATGCCTTACAGGCCTGATGTGGGATGTCCTGTATACTGTGAATATGTGTTGCGTTTATTGGTTGATGAATAAAGCTGCTTTGGCCTATGGCAAGGCAGAATATAGCTAGGCAGGAAGTCCAAGAAGAGATTGGGGAGAAAGAAGGCAGACTGGAGAGAAGAGGGCAGCAGCCGCTGAGGAAGCAGACATGGAGAAAACGAGGTAACACCATGGCCACGAAGCAATACATAGATTAACAGAAATGGGTTCATTTAAATATAAGAACTAGCTAGTAATAAGCCTAAACCTTAGGCCAAACAATTATAATTAAAAAGAAAAAATGCCAGGTACTTTCCCTTGGGCTCACAGGGGATAGGGTAGATGAACAGGTGCCTCCTACCAATGTGAGCCAGAACAGTGGCCCCTCCAGCCCAAGCCAAGGACAATGACCTCCAAAGTAGGCTGTGAGATCCCCAAATAGCAGTCTCTAGGACCAATAAACTCTTGCGCCCCCCAAGTCTTTCTGACTTCTTCCTTCCCCCCGTTACGTTTTCAACAGAAGAGTTCATTTAGTTGATTTTATCTTTTAAAATTTCTTCTCTTGATTATTTGTTTAATATGAATGGATGTTTTACCTGCACGGATCTTTGTCCTACATGCACACCTGGTGCCTGAGGAAGTCAGGAGATGGTATCGAGTTCCCTGCAGCTGGAGGTACAGACAGTTATGAGCTGTCATGTGGGTGCTGGGAATTGAACTCTTGTCCTCCGAATGAGCAGAGAGTGCTCTTAACCGCTGAACCATCTCTCCAGTCTCTCCCTTGCCCCTCCTCAGCATCAGTCACAGGAACAGAAAGTACAGGCCAGTAAGCAAACATCTGTTCATCCTGGGTCTCTGAGTCTGTCTTTGCCTCCTTAGCCACAGTTTCCTGCAGTTTTCCCTTCTGAGTCTCCTTTGCAGACAGAGTCCCTCGCAGTCCTGACACCAGGGCCCCAGCTGGATTGTGCTCTTGGCCTTCTTCCCCTTGCCTGTACACTGTGGGCTAAGTCGACTGCACCCATGCTTTCCGCTGCCATCTGTAAACTGCCCTTGACATTTGTTCTCCAGCCACAGCCGTCAGAGTGATGTTCTCAATTGTCTGTAAAATGTTTCCATTTGTGTCCGTTCTGAATTCATTGTCTCCTGGGGCCTAAAGCTCCTCCCCTTTTCTATTTACTGTGTCTGTGAACGGCACTCACCAGGCAGACCTGAGCCACACAGGTGTCTCTTGTTCCCTTATTGCCACATGCACCCCCAACACACACGCCACCCACAATAACTTTCTGCACTAGCCAACATGGTAGCTATTGGGCATGTAATTAGCCTAAATGGAAATGTGCTAAGTGTAAAATACATACCATATAGTATCAAAAACACACCCAATTTTCTTATTGATGGCATCCCCAAATTATAGTATTTTGAGTAGTTTATACCAAACAAAACATAACCCTAAAATTAAAAGTACTTCTTTCTCTTCAGTCTTCTAGTAGGCCTCCCTAGGATGTTTTACATATGGGGCTTGCATTTATGACTTTTGATTCATTTCTATTGTATGGCACTCTGCCAAGTGTCTGCTGCTCCTCCTCCCTTCTTAACTGAGGTCCTTGTTTCTCACCTGTCCCAAACTGGTCTCCAGTCTAATCCTCCCTTAGCCAGGCTGTGTAACCTGGAGCTGCAGGGCCTATCTAAAGAATAAAAGTGCCCTGCTTAAAGCACCCAGAGATGACTCACTGACTTAAGAGGGCTTACCAGCTCCTCAGTGTATCCCTGCCACCTCCAAGGAGCATCTACCTTCCTCCTGGCGTCTGTGCTTTTTCTATCCTTGCTTGACATTCCCCATTACAAGTCATGCCTAGTGACACAGGCTTGTAATATCTGCAGGCTGAGGAAGGAGGATTGATTGCGAGTTCAAGGCCTAGCTAGGGCTACAGAGTTCAGGGCCAGTCTGAACAACTTAGGCTGTTTCACAATAACAAGAGCGTTTCAGGGGCTAGGAGGATGTCTCAGTTGGTAAAGCCCTTACCTCGCTAACACAGGTTCTAAGTTTGAGTCCCAGAACCCACAAAACAATAATAATAATAATAATAACAATAACAATAATAAAGACAGTTGCCAGGGCTCTGCGCAAGAACACAAGACTTGACCTCCATTCCAGAATGAATATGGAAAAGAACTCTAAGTTGGACTGGGCACCCTACCCTC